TCGTGTTCAGCGCGTCAAAATACATAGGGTTAGGGTATTCCGGTCAAAAGTACATAACACTTTTTTTTGTGGGGCTGTGTTATTAAAAATATAGACAACTCTTTTAAAATGTACAATTTATTACTGACTCTTGTTCAGAATTAATTAATTTATTATCTTTTATTGATTACACAGCCTCAGAAAAAAAATTAATTTTGTCCGGCGAAATAGACTAGTCATTCTTACGTCTTATTATTAGTTCTTAGAGATAATCGCAAAAATCTGATAAAAATCCTGAATTAGGGACAAAGATAATTTTTTGCCGAAAGACTACGATATTGTATTTCCATGTATATTGTACTTTTTTCCACTGAATTCGAATTCAAAGTCAGAATTGAGAGATTAGCTTAAATTTTGGAGAAAATGCCAAAAAACTGTTTTTTTGAATTTTTTGCAATTATCTCAAAACATTTCAGCAAATCTAACAATTCTAACTTTGGATTCGGAATCAGTGGCTAAAAATACATGGAATTACACTATCGCAGTGTCATAAAAAAATTTTTCACTTTTTGATTTTTTTTCTTTTTTAAGCACTTTTTTGAGTTTATCTCAAAAATAAGAGCCAACTTTTAAATTCTGACCCCAGATTCTGATTCAGCGACCCAAAATATGTAAGAATGACTAGTCTATTTTGCCGGACAAAATTTTTTTTGTGGGGGTTTGTTAATTAAGTAAAAAAATGAAAATAATAGATAAAATATGTTTTCAAAGTTGGTCTGTGAAAGTAAGTAAGTTTAAACAGCACACAAAAATGACAAAAAAATTTGATCTATAAGGTGCTAAATATCTTGCGGTTACTTTAACCTAGCGCATTAACATTTATGTAAAACTGTGAAAAATAGCCGGTTATCTATGTATATTTCGGTGGTGGGGATAAAACACTCTATTTTCTTAATTTCTAGTTTTTTATTTATCTAGTTTATTTTTTTTTAGATATTTATTTTTATCTAGTTTTTTTTATTTTTTTCTAATTTCTAGAAAATTTTAAAATCTTTAAGTTTTTAATTAATATTTATTTAGGCATATTTGAAATTTAAAGAACTGATTTAATACCAATTTTTCAGTTTTTCATAAATTTAAATGGGTTAAAGTAACCGCAAGATATTCAGCACTTTATAGATCCAATTTTTGTGTGCTATTTAAAATTACTTAAAACCATATACAGGTTTTGAACTCATTAGTCGGCAAAAAAGTAACAAAAAGTTGTCTAAGTAGTGGAAAAGTAGCTTTTAGTAGCCTAAGGATGAAAAAAGTAGCCAAAAAGTAGCCAACCATCAAAAAAGTAGCAAATAGTATCTTTTAGTCGAAGAGTGCGAAGCCTGCATTACTCGCACATTACATGTATCAATAATAATTGGTTAAGTAATAATTAAATAATTATTTATTATTTTTAACTAATAAACAATTGAAAAACAAGTAAAAATCACGAAAATTTTTTTTTTAAATTCAGAAACCCTAAAAACCCTTATATACTAAGTTTCATGAAAATTTGTCGAGCAGAATTTGTTTTGGACATTTTGGGACCACAGTATCAATTTTTTCTCTAACAGTAAAGGGGTTAAGTAAAACCCCCCCCCCACCATACAATTTACTACAGAAGTGTAAATTATTGAAATTTATTTACTATGACTAAATTTATTATTATATAGGGGATAGCTACTTATCTGATTATCACTCTACTTCATTTCTTTCAACTTAACCCCAATTTTTTTTGTTTTTTGACTTTTTTCTTACACTTTTTAACATATTATAAAAAAATGTAAATTATAAATTTTTAGAAACCCTCTTTATGAGGTGTTTCTTTTAATATCCACGTATCTTTATATTTGATGTTCGATGTTCAATATTTTTGAGATTTTGAAATAACAAATTGTACCTGAAGAGGATGCATCGAAACGTTGTACATTAATTTTTCAATAAACAACAAATATAATAACCGTTTAATAGGCCTCGTAAAAAATTTTCTCAATCAAAGTTAAATAATATTGTAAGAAAATTAATTTTAACGAGAATACTTTAATTAAATTAATTTATCCAATCTAATTAATTTAATAAGAGATTAGTTTTCTAATAATTAATTAAAAGAAATTAACAATAAATCCAGCTCTAAGCTGAATTGTCTGCGTCACAATTCGGACATTCGTATCAGGGTCCGCAGATTTTGGCGCACTTTAAGTGCACTTCTCTCTGACAGTTATGGCACGCAAAGCTATTGATAACAACAGAATTTCGAATTAAGAAAAGAATAAATTTCAATTATGAGGCTTAGAGCATTATTAAGAAACTGTACACTGAGAAAAAAGGTTTGAGCTGACAACCAAATATTTCATTCAATATATGTGCAACTAAAATTTTTTGGTTGACACAACTAAACTTTAGTTGACAACAATCAAAGTTTGTTTCAGACGACTAAATAAGAAAATGAAAAAGAATTTGGTAGTCTCAACCAAACTTTGGTTGATGTCAACTAAAGTTTAGTTGTGTCAACCAAACAATTTTAGTTGCACATATATTAAATGAAATATTTGGTTGTCAGCTCAAACCTTTTTTCTCAGTGTAACATTGAAAATAAATAAAATTAAGGTGTGATGTCCATCTTAGGGCCTCCAGACTGTCCATCTTAGGACCAATGACCCCATTTTTTTGGCGCAAATAAAAATTATTTACAAACACAGTGTCAACCGAATCATTTCAGAATACTATTATACGATAAATAAATGAGGTTATATGCATCTATTCGAAATCAAAAATATAGATAATTTTACCGACTGAAATAAAAACTGTTACAAAACTACAGGAAGAAAAATAATTCTTTCCGATTCATGTTTAGATAAAAAGTTTCATCTAAACAAACTAAATCAGCAAAAAAAAAATCACGAGGCGATATATACTTATACGAAAATTTTATATCAAATGTCCATCTTGGGGCCCTCTCCCCTATTGATTTAAGAATTTAAAGATATAATATTTTAAGATTTTCTTTGCATTTTTCTTCTTTCTTGATAAATATAAAAAATTTGGAAAATACAATTGACACTTTGATAATTTTAGAACATTTAAATGTTTTCTAAATGCACGCACACGGAAACTTTCGCGTTGGTCCTGATGCCTAGGTTAAGAGATAAAAATATTTATGAATAATTTAACAGTTTTAAAAAGCTAATGCATGTAGTTTTTTAAAGTTGAAGTTTTTTTTATCATGATCAATAAAATTGCATCCACTTCAATTTTTAAAATTTACATGCATTAACTTTTCAAAAATTAAAATTTTTTTAAATATATTTATATTTCCTAACGACATGATACTCGGGACCATCGCGAAGGTTTTGGTGTGCATGTATTTAGTGAACATTTAAATAACCCAAAGTTTTCGTTCTTCTTCAAGTCAGTTATTAATATTTAAAAATAGCAAAAATCAGCAAAGTGACAATTTAATTTTCCAAATTTTTTATATTTATCAAGAAGAAAGAAAAAAAGTGCAGAGAAAGTCTAAAAGTTCATTACAAGTACTTTATTTTTAATAACTTTTATTTAATTTAATGATTCTATTTTCTCATAATTATTTCAGGAATAAAAATTGACAAATTAAGTTATTAGACAGGTGAACTTAAATATATTATTTCATGTCTTTAAATACTTTTATCAATTTATAATTATAAATTTACTCATTAATAAATGACTAAGTATTTTGCGAAAGGAGAGAATTTTAATAAGAAATTCTTATTGATTGCAAGTTGTTGTGATCACTTTTCATTTAAAGTATTTCAATAAACTTAATGAAGTTATATTGTACGTACTTTTTACTTTTTAAGATGTGAATTTGGACACGTGACAACGAAAATAGAGACTTAGTGTAACGTGAGCCGATGCCCGATATAGTGCTTTCTTAGTAGATGCTATTTTTAGCCTTGGGAAGTTGCTTAAAATATTTGTTACACGGCCAATCCTTGTTTTCGTCTTCCTTAAACTTGTCATTCTTCTCAAGGAATATATCTCAACTAACATCTTTAAAAATTTTAAATTATGATTACATTTTTTGCTAATAAAAAGTCATTCATAAAATCATTTTTTTAAAATACCTTTTTTATATTATTAATTTGTATCATATGAAGATATCATTGATTATTGTTCGTAGTTTATTTTGAATTTTTTAATTTATTGCAATGAAAAACATTTGAGAAAAACAATTTTTTCAATGAGAATATTTCAAATTATAAAAATAAATTACTTTTAATTTTAAGAATTGAAACGAAATATTTATAAATTTTTTAAATACTTTAGTTTGATTGGTGCTTTCTCTAAGGTTTCGAGAAAACATTTAATATGACGTGGTAGCAATTGCCCACAAATAAACTGTATACATTAAACTTAGATCTGTTTCCGGACTAATTTTTAGATTAAATTTATTAAATTAAAATTAAAAACTTTATTAAGGTTAAAATGTAGACCGTTAAATTATGTACAATTTTAAACTTATACCTACAGTTTTACCTACTATAGTTCATTTTAAAAGTATACAGTTTTTAATTTCAATTTATTAAATTTCATCTAAACATTAGTATGTATGTGTACACTTTTGTGAATACAGTTTATTTGTAAAAAAATTGCTACAGCTCCTTCAGTACATTGATTTTTAAAATTGATATTTTTTTCCCCTGTGCCAATTTAACATAGTTTTAATACAAATTTTGAAAATGCATTCACAATTTATTTTAACACACAGCGTTTGTGGTTAACTTTATTTAACTGTATTAACTATAGTCATCAAACATGATAAATTCCGAAATTTTTTTCACGTTTAATTTGATATAAATTGTTAAAAATTGTTATGATTTATTATCAAATTTATTAAGAATCTGAAATGAAATTTTTTATCTTTCTTAAAGAAATATTTTAGTTTCATATGTAAAAAAAAGAAAGAGTGCCTGTATTCACTTAAAATCGTGATATTTTTTTTGCAGGACTGTATCTCTGCGTAAAGCCAGGCAGTTGCGTTTCCAAATAACCCGTGAAAGTGTCTAATTTTCCGTGTCCGGGGAGGAAAGCTTGTTTTCTTCAGAACATACGGAAGAAGTGTTGTTTACTTCAACCTATCCTTGAGATTCGACACGTTAAAATTAGACTTGGACTCTTTCTACAAACGCTTCAGATTAGGTAAAATCTTGGTTAGTTTCGTTTCTTTCGACGCAGAGAGTGAAACAACTCGCTCTTTATTTCAGTGGATATACTATTTTCGTCCATCGAAAGTGAGCGTGTTAAAGGGCAAGGCTAGTACGTGAAAGCTTTTAGTTGGGAGTGGTGCCAGTTGGCTTATAGCTGTGGTGCGCGCAAGGCATGAGCGTGAATGAGACTCGATCTCATGTTTGGTAAATGACCTGTGTTAAGCTTTTTAAAATCGAAAACATTTGTTGATAATTCGAACAGTGCCAAAAATGGAGTGTGATAATTTGGACAGTGCCATACCGGAGGGTGTGAAAAAGTGCGCTTCTATTCTCAAGATGGTGGAAAGCGATTCAGAAAAGTTTGCAGCTCTCTTTATGGTGACCAAGTTGATACCTGGTAAAGATTGTTCTCCGGCGGCGAAAAAAATACTTTTCGAAGCTATTGGTCCTAAATTTCTTCGGAAATTGTTTTTAAGTAATGATGTACCTGTCGATTGTCCTCCTCAAGTTTATAAATCCGTCGCGTTGTCAATTCTTTCTTCGTTTTGCAATGAGCCTGAACTAGCAGAGCATCCTGACATGATTGGACACATACCTGCGCTTTTAGAAATTGTGTCTCAGGCTGACGAAGACGCTCCAGATGATACTTTAATCATAGTCAGCGAGGCCTATACCTGCTTACAGTGTATCGCTCGGCAACCCGGTGGACAAAGAGCGCTTCTGGAGCAGAAAGCGGTTAAAAAAATGTGCGATATTTTCTCTGAGAAAAGCTTCAAAACCGACGAGGCATTGAATATCCTTGTCATTCTTGCAAATAAATTTGGACCACAAGTCTGGGACGCGGTTAATATTTCTTCCTTTCATTCAATAATAAACAAAATCGCCCTTGATTTCGACTCGGATAATTCGGAGAGAAAGTTTGAGTTGTGCTTCATATTGTATGAGTTACTTGCTTCTTGTAGAAAAGATCTGATTGCTTCAACAGCCAAGGATCAATCATGGCCGGAGAGTATTCGAAAATGTCTCTCTGAGATTCTTCGTTCAAAGATTGGAAAAAATCAGCGAGACCCTGCGCTAAAACTTTCTTCGATAATGCTGGAAATTTTGGGAGTTGACTGGGCGGTAGCTTACGACGAGAAAGAGAAACTCTATATTCTTCCATTGATTCAGCTGGCAGCCATTGAAGTGCGATTGCAATTAGAGGGGAAGCAATTAAAGTCTGTTGTGGCACATGCAGATCTGTTAGTCGCTTGTTTCACTGTTTTGGAAATTTCCCTCAACTACATCACGAACGATCAATTAGACTTGGAGCAGAATGAGAAGCAAGCTTTGTACACTTCTTTAAAGGCAGTCTTTTCTGCTGTTCTCGGTTTGTTGATAGCCGTGTCTAAGATGAAAGAAATTAAGGACATTAAGGAGAGGGTCTTTGTGTGCGCGCTGATCAGGGTTTTGGCTGCTTGGTTGGCTCAAGAGACATCATCAATGCGCACTCAGGTATTTGCTGTCTTGCCATTCGTTTTGACAATAGCTAACGATACTTTTTATGCGCATCGGAATCGAAAACTTGCGGAAAAAGCAAAAGCAGGTGCTAGATCTGACGAAGGAAGCTCATCTGCAGAGCTCGTTAATTATGATCCGGTCAGTGATGTTGATATTTTAAGGCTCATGCTTCCTGCTCTTTGTTACCTTGCAGTTGAAGACGAAGGAAGGAAAATTCTCCTGAAGCATAAGCAGGACGAAGTTCTTTTTGAATGCTTGTCCTATCATTGGACAATTGTACACTACAAGAAACCACCAGTGCCAAAGGCAGAACGTTTGAAAGCACTCAAGGAACCAGAGAAGGAATTGGAGCCCCATGTGTTGGAGCAAATGAAGGATTCAAGAGCAGCAATGGTGTCAATTTGCAATGTGCTTATGAATATAACAGTTCTGGAGGCAAAACTCGTTGAGGAGTCAACAACATTCGTTTCTCTGCTCAAATTCATTTTCACTAATCTACCAGAGCTTAAGCAAATCTCAGAGAACTTGGTTCTTCATGGGCATTTAGCTGTTTTAGGATTATTATTGTTGAAACAGCAGGCAAAACGTGTTAAGAAGAATGATTTTTCAATTTGTCGTTATATACAAGTTACAATAAGATTTCTTTGGGACGCCTATATTGTGGACGAGAGCAATGATCCAACTGAACTTGTCGTCGCGATGTCTTACAAGGAGCATTGGATGGAAATAATGGAACTGTGGTTCCTGGGAATGCAGACAATGGCTGGAGTATTGCAAATGATTCCTTGGCTTTCGGAATTTGCGATCGAGTCTGGATGGGCCGAGGGAATTGTCGAGACCTTAAAAAAAGTAAAGATTGGCGGTTTACAACCAAATGTTAAGTCGGCGTATGAAGATTTGCTTTGTCACTTGGTTAAGGCTGATCAGAGTGTTGCGACGGTTTTAAAAAAGTGTGGGGCGCTGACGGTCTGCAGAAATCATCGAATGATGGAATTAGGCAAACATCTTTTTGGTGATTAATTACCAGAATTTAAAAGTTGACAGAGCAATTTATTTATTTCTTTTTTTCAGTTTCTTGTAACGCAGAATTCGAATTACAGAATTATTGTGAAAATGTGTTATTATTGACAAAAAAGAAATAAGTATTTTCGTAGAAAGATATAAAAAATTCGTAAAGAAATATGGACTCAGCAATCAAACTTTTGCGCCTACATAGAATTCAAGTTACTAGCATAATTTTGTGTATTTGTGTTAGCGTTGTTACCAATAAGATTCTGAAACAAACAAATAGGGAAGATTGGATATTGACTTCATATTGAACAAATATAATGTATCTTTTCATTAGAAATGAATGCTTTTTTATCTTTGTAAAAAAAATATTAATGGTTTTACAAGAATCAGAACTTGAATAAATAAAAAAAAAACTATTATGTGTATTTTGATATAAAACTTTCTCAATTTCATATCATATTTAATCTAAAGAATAATTTTATCTACATTCGTTAAAAGTTAACTGATATTCAAATTTTTAACTAATAAGCGGTTACACTGACTTGAAAATAATAGACGTAAACATAATTTTACGCACTTGCTGCAAGAAAATAATTTTTCATGTTCAATATGTAAAATATAAATTTCAATCAATAAAAGAATGGCTTTATTTATATTTTAGAAGATGGAAATTATAAATTGAACCACTAAGTTAAAGAAAGATATATATTCTTACTGTTTTTTATTTGCCAAGAATGAACAAAATTTTTTAATTTTTTCCAATAGATTTTGTATGAAGTGGTTTTATATTATTTAATATGTATGTAATGAATTAAAACTGACAAGACTTAATAAGATAATGTTACAAGTCTTAGAAAAATTGACCAGTATATTTATAACTAAAAAGGATATTAATCAAAATAGTACAGACAGGCGATAAAAATTTAGCCGATTTCTTTAAATGGTAAACCAAATTATTTTTAAAAAACACATTATACAAATTTGTTACCAAAGTGCCTAAAAAAGTAAATTGTGTAACACCTGCTTTGAAAAATACTAATTTAAATTAACTTTCCTGCTATCAGTTACTTGATTCTCTTTGTTAATTCCGATTAAAATTTAATTTAAAACTATATTAAAATGTATCCGTTGAAAGTCACCTTTATCAACCAATATATTCATCGAATCAAGATTGAAAATTTATATAATTTCGCTAAGCGCAGCTGTTTTAATGAATCGGATGCTTTTATACACAAAGCTGTGTTTTTCTCATAGGTGTTACACAAATATTAATTTAGTTATTATAGGATATAAAATTTTCCAAAAGAAAACCTAAACTGTTTACCGCTTTGTATAACTGTACAAGAAATGGTAAATATATAACCAAAAGCTCAAAAATAATGTAATGATATAAAAAGAATTTATTGTGAAATTATAATTTGTTTCTCACTTGAAATATTTTTAGAGTTAAACTATTGCTCGGATTTCGGAAGCAAGATGGATTATTTGAATTAGCGTAGGAAACTAACGCCTCTGCGGCTGTGCTATTTTTACATTTTGTATAAAATATTGACGTATAAACAGATTCATAATAATCTTGTTCTTCAATATTGGCGCTGGAGAAAAAGTGAATTATCTCAAGTATTTCGTTTGCTCATTGTCAATTTGTTTGTATTACAAGACTTTTTAATTAAAGAGAGACAATTTAATATATTTAATCTTATTTTTTAATAGCCTTTCTCCCAACTTATTTTAGTGCTCCCATTCAAAAGAAACGAGATGACGAAAGAAATAATTTTTTTTTCTAATGCTAAATAATATCATGTGAGTCTGTTATTGGCACAACTGATTTTGTTGTGATTACAGTAAAACGCCCATCGATGCCACTTCGAGAGTCCAATTATCGGCTTGAGTATTTGAATGAATCAATACATTGTCTAGGTAATCATTAATATGAATTAAGTCTCCTAACTAACCTGTATCCTCTATCCTTTGAATTTTGTCTAAGTTATAAAAAAATATGTTCATAAATACAAAGAATATTATAGTTACCGCATTCAATATTTCACATCTTCCCCTTCTGTTCCTCATTTTCCTATTGTTGCTAAAGTTTCATCAATTTCGAGAAATTTGGGAAAATTGCATCACTATCATTGAAATGCAATATTGAGTGTGTCATTCTTGTATTTTCTCTGTCTTTGAACAAAATTTCCTTCCTCCCGTTTGTTATTCATTTAAACGGCATTATTTCGACTATTTTTCTGACAAAGTAGATCCTTCTAAGTTTTAACGCATTCCTCTTGCATCACCAACAGCTTGCTGACGAATTGACACACCAATACGGAATCCCGAAAGATCAGGCCACCAAGATCACGACAACGTATCTTAAACAATTCAGAAAGTGTCCCGAAAATACAGCGTCTACTTTGAACTCATGGCGAAGCAATCTTTGGACAAACGCATTGGGAGAAAGCTACTCGCACCTCACGACAGCCGTCTACGAGAGATGGCTTCAGCTCAGGTACCATTACTTGAAACTGTCCAAAGATACGATTTCGATGTTACATCAAATGAAGAAGAAATATTATTTGGGCCTGATATCCAACGGACCGTCCAACTCACAATGGGAAAAGATTCGCAAATTATGTCTAGAACAATATTTCGATATAATACTGGTATCGGGTGACTTACCCTGGGAGAAACCTGAGGCTCAAATATTTCAGGAAGCTTGTCAGTCCCTTCAAGTCCGTCCAGAAAGTTGCATTATGGTTGGAGACAAATTAGAGACCGATATATTAGGTAAATATTTATGAATTCATTTTTTATTATTTTCATCACAGTAAAAAGTTAGAATTGTCGGCACATTTTACAGTAAGTTTATCATCAGCTGCCAATAAATATGAGAAATCGCTCGTAAGCTTATTGTGGGATTTTTAAGCAGGGTGTCTAGCGACTTGGAATTCTTTGAAAACCTGGAAAAGTCCTTGAATTTTTTTATCAGGAAAACCTGTAAAAGTTCTTCAATTTTTCATCAGGTCCTGGAATTTTTATATTTTGTGTAAGAATTTTTTTCCAACCGCGTTTGAAAACACAAAATTCCTAAACGTTTTTATGTACATTTTCTTATGCGAAATTCAGGCCTCGGATTGCACGACTTTTTCGACTCTTCAATCCGTTATTTAAAATATTTTCCAATTGAAAGTTCTTTTAAATTCAATTATCTAAACTAGGGTCAGTTGGGGTAAATAGAAACAAGAAGTAAATCGAAACAGTAGTTATTTCAGTTAATAAAAATTTTTTTAAATAAATATGGCCTCAAACCTCAAACCTTAGATCACCCCCAACAAGGTTTGAGGCCGTATTTATTAAAAAAAAATTTATTTAACTGAAATAACTACTGTTTCGATTTACCCCTTGTTTTTATTTACCCCAACTATCCCTACCTAAGTAAAAAAATGTATTAATTAAAATTAATGAGTTTCAATTTAAAATTTCCTGAAATTCAATTATTTCCAAAATTTTTACTAAATTCATTATTTTGAATAATATTTTAATGAAACTCTTCGAAAATTTAATTATTTAAAACATTTTCTAAACTTCTGAATTCGAACAATTTCCATAAATCGAACATTTTTTTTTTTTGTTTTTTTAATAATTTGAAACTATTTTTTGAAATTTGTCCTATACTGAATTGAATTTTTGAAAATTTGTCTCAGTTTAATTCTGAAATATTGTAAATAAAATTTCTTGAAAATATCTCTATGAAACATTTTTATTCAGGAATTAATAAAACTTATTTAATTTCTAATTACAATTGTTTGATAATAATTATAAAATATTTACTAACTAACTTTATTTATTTAAAAATAAAAAAAGCAACTTTTTTAAGTTTTCTTGTAATATGAATCGACTAAAACGACTTTTTTCTTCCTCTAAATGCCATCCGAAGCCTGAAAATGCCAAAAATTAAATTTATTTATTACTAGTTTATTACAAAAAGAGACTTAAAGTAATTTAATCTTGTACATTAATTTAATGTATTTTTGTCATTATTTATTAAAATAGTACATACCAGGAAAAAAAATTTTTAACCCGAAAAGCCTGCGGGAAATATTGGAAACTTATTTCCAGAATTTGCTTAAAAAAGTCTCAAAATTAAATTTATTTTTTGCCCAACTTGTTTTAAAATCAAAAAATTTTTGTTGGAAAATCATATGTTCACATTGTACATTCAAAATCCAAAAGAAAATTCCATGAGTCAGCACCTTTGGATTAAATTGATGTATATCTATGTCAGTTTTTTCTTGAAAATTAAATTTTTGTTATTTGAAAAATTAAAATCGATGATTATCAAAAAGGGCTGCGGTGATTTTTGTTGTAAAATTATGCGTTTACATTGTAGAATCAAAGTCAAAAAGAAAATTTTAGGTTTAAGGACGTTTGGGTTAAATTAAATTCTGCGTTTAATGATATATGTATTGCTGAAAAATTTTATAATCCTTCAAAAATTTAAGTATTAATAAATTTTTATCTAAAAATTTTCGACGAATTAATCGTTTTTAATAATTTTAAATTTAATTAAGGTAAATACACTAATTCGATTCGAGTCAAAACATCTTTAAAATAGAAAATTCGACATTTCTATTGTATAAAGTAAATTGAAAACTTAATTAAACTAAAATCTTATGTTATTTATATATTAAAAAGAATTTGAAACTTTATAAAAATTCATTATTTAAACAAATATGAGAAATTAAAACTAACACCATAATTTCTATTACGGCGCGTTTGTATAAGTTTCGGTGTGTCAATTACGGCGACCAAAATTACGTGTATTTTGAAGATACTTTGCTCACCGTAATTGAAACCAATGGAAATCTTTAAAATGTTTTAATTACGGCGAGGGAAAAAATTTGATCTCATTAATTCAAATTATTAATTGTTTAAATGTACATTTTTATTAGTAATTGTATCCAAAAAAGATTAAAATAATTTTTTAATATTTTTAAAATATTAGTTTTTTTGCATGTGCCGTAATTGATGCACTTACCCTATTTAAAAAAATGTTTAATCAAAAATTTTCTAAAATTTAATTATTGTCATATACCAGATTTGTTCATACTTTTCTAATTAACATTTTTTTGTGAATTGAATCCGGATTTGTTTTTCTAAAATAGTATAAAAAAGTGAAATTGATTATTTTGAATTTCTTTTGAAAATGAAGTTTTTTTCATATTTCTAATATTTCAGGTGGTATTGAAGCAGGTTTAGCTTGTACCATATGGATCCCGATAGCTGAAAGGTCTCGTCTTTCAAGTGAAGACCCCCAACCAAATTTTACAATCAAAAATATTTGTGAACTTTCAAAAATTTTAAATCGCGGTCCTGGTGCACCAGAATTAGAAGATTGTTCTTCAAATGCATCGGATGGAATGTGAGGATCCTTCTTTCAATCCACAAAACTAGCAAATTTCCGGATATTATTGGTGAATACTTCTACAGGGCTAATCAAGTGCATTAATTGTTTATGAAAGGGAACTTCATAAACAAGTCAAAACAAGAAGTTTTTTTGTTTTTATTGATTTATGAAAAAGATTTTTACGCTTAAAATATTTTAGCGTATCTTTTTTTCATTTGTATTATAGTGAGGGTAGGAATGGTTTAATGAAAGTATTATAGTAGAAAAAGCGATATTTTATTACTGTGTTTATTCTTGTCACTAGTAGTTGAGTATACTAATGTACAATTTAAAAACATATTTTATAATATTTGTTTTTACTTTTATTGTTTGTTCCTCAAGTTCCGTAAACTTTTTGTTCATGATAAAAAGCGCTCGATTTCTTAAACAATTTTATTCTTCCGAACATTAGAGACAATGGATACAATTTGCATATAAAATTTACAAATTATATATTAAGAAATATTTCTAAATTATATTTTAATTCTATAAGAGGGCGTAAAAAATTAAAGTTAGAAGACCTCGGGATTTTATTAAAAATATATTTTTTAAATAAGCCATTTTAAATATTAAAATTTTTTGTGGAAGGTTTTTTTTTAGTTTGTATGTGGTTCCTAGATAATTTAAAATATGTATTTCCTATTTTAGTGTCTTTACTTTTGTAAAAAAAATTTTTGTTGTGTTTATAAATTAAAAAAAAAATGTAGTTAGGTCAATTTATTGACTTTGGTTTGAGGGCTGTTGCAAGTAATTTTACAAAATTTAATTTTCAAATGTTAAGTTTCGATATTGTTTGTGAACATTAATTATCATATAATACCCAAAATGTTCTTATTTTAATGGAATTAACAAGGTAAACGTGTGAGAATTTTGTGGCCTTTGCTCCGTCGAAGTAAAAATGAAGAAATTTATTATAAGCTTTTATTTAAAGAAACACCCCACTCGAATACATTTTTCCCATAGAACATGATCACAAAGGGTTTAACCGTTAACTAGCACCATGGGTCCAGCAGACCCGAACATTTTTTTCAGCTCAAATTAATTGAATGTGTACCTTTAAATATTTTAATATATTAATTTGACATATTTTTATTAATTTTTTAAGTTTTTTGATACAACTAATTCGTTACAAAAGAATAAATTAGCTTCAAACATTAATAATTATAAATTTTCAATTTTAACCTGAAAAGGCACATTTTATTCTGCAAAATAAATACCTTTTTGCCATTTTTTAATTTTATTTTTCATAATTTTTTTAACTAACTTAAAATAAATTAATCTCTGTAAAACTAATTAAATTTTAAAAAACACATCATAAACTACCTCTGATTAAATTTTTTGTGCAAAAATATTCAATTCCGACTGTACAATACACGTTAGAATACGTCGGGTCCAGAAGACCCGTTGTACCATTTACGTTCGAACGCTGAATTATGCCAGTTAAGGGTTAAATTAATTTTTAAGAGTGTATAAAAATATACAATTAAAATTGAAGGAAATCATAATCTCAATAAAGAGACTGATTGGTGTTTTTAAAAGAAGAATTTCTCTAAAACAAATTTTCAATTTTGCTTTGATGGACCAATAGTCACAAAATTTTTACATTTTTATATTACTATATTAAGGTCCATAAAAAAAACTTGAGTGAAATTAATAATAATTGAAAGTATGAGGTTTGTAATATTTAGAGTTCTTGAACAAATTTTTTTGTACATGAATACTCAAAATGGATGAAATAATTATTTTTTCAACAAAAATATTTTAAGAAAAATAAAATTCAAATTAATATTAAAGCCAGGCGCAAGATAGATTCCTATTTTTTTAAGATACTCTTATCCAAACTAATATTTATTATTTTCAGAGTATGTAAAATAGTTGTATTTTTTCTCTAAATGAATAAAAAAATATCAATTACTACTAGTTTTTGATTTTTTAAAAATATATTTTTAAGCAACTTTTCCCAAATAAAATTCGTGCTACGCGCAGAAGTCACATGCTTTTTTTTTGGGTTATTTATAAATTTTATAGGAAGTTGTAATGATCTATTAAATAATAAAGTGAAAAACTACGACAAAATATTGTGAAAAAACCGGCCTTTGCAAAATGAAGTGGTGAAGAGATTTAAAAAAAAAAATTTTTAATCTATTTAACTGACTTCCTGGCATTCCGAACTACCATTTACCAAAAAAATTTGAAGGTACTTGTCAATATATGTATAAGTACCTACGTATTTTTTTTCTCGAAAAACATGATTTTTTTTTATTCTATTGGTTTTATGCTGTTTTGAGGGGTGGGATATTTGTTTTCGATTTTAAAAACTATTGAATTCACTTCCTGACACCTTGAACTACCCATTACAAAAAAATCAGAGGTGCTCGATAATTTTGATAAAACAACCTCCCGGCAAACCGTGATTACCAGCGTGTCGCGTTGCTGTGGAAGGGATTGAAAAAAAACATTTTTCGTCAAAAGTATATTTTTTAAAAACTTGGTAAAAATATATGTTAAAGGGCAGATTATAAGGTACTTTTTTTAAAAAAATGAGTTTTTTGATTTTTCTTTCCCTCTCCATAACTCCGAAAAAACTTAAATTATGGGTGCATACTTTCAGAATTTTATCCTCATATAGATAGCAATATATGGTGCAAATATTATATTATTTTAATATATGCGGGGGCAACTTTTGCATACTTAATCCCCTATGCTCTTTTATCAGAAATTATATAAAAGTATTAAACTAAAATTATTCAAAAAGAAATGTTTTGATTTATGAAACGTCAATAACTTTATAATAATTTTCAGTAAAATTTCAAAAATAAATTAATCGACACGTTTGGATATTAAGATGTGATGTAATATAAAGATTTTTAAACAAATATTTCAAATTTATGTTTGAAAAATTTTTTATTCTAAAAAAATTAATAACTTCAGATAAAATGTCAGTATTATATTAGCCAAAAAGTTAAAAAATGAATTTTGAACTTTAGAATATACAAAATTGAATGTAAAAAATATATTAAGAAAAAGCTTGGTGGGACAGAATCATGCATGATTGCGTCAAGGTTGCATCGTGCTTACAAAAGTCTTTCAATTTGACTAGTTTGGATTCAAAACAAATTAATTTTTACTTTCATTTTTATAGTTCCGTACACAAAGTAGGAATCCTATTAAAATCATTTTGGCAAAAAAATCGTATAACCTTCTCCCATTTACTCTCACACAAATATACCTAGAATTAAAATGCCTTCAAATGACTATGTACTATGTTAAAATAATTCTAGTGGATGAAGGATAAAGTATTGAGACAAATAAAAATTGAACAAGTTATAAAAATGACAAAATAATAAATAGGAAGGTTTAACAATAAGTATAAGATAAATTTTTAGAAATTTTAGATTTAATTAATTAATTTTATATTAATAATTAAGAATTATATTTATAATAAATTGTATTTTAAGAACTTAAAGTTTCAGATATTTGAAATTTTTAAACTAATTAATATTTTTAAATATCTATAATTTACAAATTATTTTATTCTTCTTGTTGCACTTGGAAAGTTAAATTGGGTTTCGAATAAATTTAGAAGCTCTTGTAACATGAATTTAAAGAAAAGTTGTTAAGATAACGATTTTTTTCTTTTTAACATAAACATTTCAATTAATCCAAATAAAATATTCTTGCTGCAATGTCATCAAGGATCCAATTAATACCCTCAACTAAGTTTTCAGCAGAAACGGCGGAACATTTAAAAATTTGCCAATGATGGGACTTAATATTCGGCAATTCTAACACATCCGCGATTTCCGGTGCCGAAAGTGCACCAGTCAAATCTTGTTTATTAGCGAGAACTAACAAACTAGCACCTTCTAATCTTTCTTCTTGCAAAAGTTTGTGCAATTCGACTTTACAGTCCTCGAGTCTCCTTCTGTCTGCGCTATCCACGACCCAAATTAGACCATCCGTACATTCAAAGTAATTTCTCCAATAGGATCGTAATGATTTTTGTCCACCAACGTCCCATACATTTAATTTATAACCACGATGTTCCAAAGTCTTAATGTTAAATCCTAGCGTTGGTGAAATTGTATCTATTGGTTCCCCGTTTATCCTTTTTAAAACTGTCGTCTTCCCTGCATTATCTAAGCCTCTGCAAGTTTTAATAAAAACTTATTAATTTCATAATTAAATGGAATATAAAACCTTATTATATTAAGGTGGTTATAATTAGTTCGGTGTAAAAAAGGTACATTTTTTATAATTTTTTTCGGTAATAAACTCTAATTTATTTTTTTTTAAATAAATTTTTGGACCACATTTTTGTTAATAAACATTTTAAATTAAGCCAATGACAACATGTTCTTTGAGACCCCTTCCAAAATAAGTAATTTTGCGGTAGCCACGACATCTAACGACTGCTTCATCAAAAATAAAAAAACCAAATATTTTCTAGAAGTAGATGAGTATAATACCAGGGTGTGTAACAATTGCTAGGAAAAAAATTCCCTGACTTTTCACTGACTTTTCCTTGACCTAAATTACATTAAAAATTTTTTTATTTTTATCAAATAAAATTTATTTTGATACAATTAAATCATTTACCTGTCTATTGTCTACTAATTTCATATGTATTTGAACCAAATAAATAATGTTTCGTAAAAAATAAAGTATTTAAGTGAAATAAATAAACTAATTGGGGACGTATAAATATTCTCAACATTTAAGGGGGGAAACTCGTGTAAATGCATGTTTTTTCAGGAATTTTTTTTAAAAAACTGGTCAAATTTATTGAAACAAAGTAAAAGCATACCTTAAAGTACACAATAAGAGCTTTATAAAAAAAATTTTTATTAAAAAATATTACAAAATGGCGGTGTTAAAGGCGTTTGAAGTTGCATCCTTGATTTTGCGCCGTGCAGCCTACAGGTCACAAATCTCAACTAAAATTAAAAATCAAAATTTTTACCGTTAAAATACGCAAATACGCTTTGCATGACGAAGAGAAAACTAAAAAAAAATTTTTTTGGGAAATTTGGGACCATTTTGAAAAAAAATCACTTTTTTCTTTTATAAACAATGTTAAAAAATTTTTGTTAAAAAAAAGGAGCTCGTCATGCAATAGCCAGTAAGATAAAGAAGATTTGTAGTAAGTATGATTAAAATCGGTTAAAAATTGGCTGAGTTACATTGCACGGCGCAAAATTAAGGATGCCATTTTGTAATATTTTTTAATAAAATTTTTGTTTATAAAGCTCATATTGTGTACTTTAAGGTATGCTCTTACTTTGTTTCAATAAATTTGACCAGTTTTTTAAAAAAAATTCCTGAAAAAACATGCATTTACACGAGTTTCCCCCCTTAATTTAAAAGAATTTTTACGGCGTCAAATCTAAAATTATCAAATTTTTAGTTAGTAAAATTATATAAAGCAGATTTTCTAGTACATCGAATTTCAAATTAATACAATTTCAATTTAACGGAATTTATATGAAGAAAATTTGCATAAAGAAAAATTTTTTTAACAGAATTATTATTTTAGTAAATTTAGTAAATTTTTTTAAGAAAAATTCTACTTAGTTCTTTTTTTGCCAATTTTCCTCGACATAAATTTCGTTAAATTGAAATTATATTAATTTAAAATTTAAAAAAAAGTATTAGAAAAAATGCTTTACAAGAGTTCTGCTAAATAGAAATTCTTTTAAATCGAATTTCAGTTAAATGTAAATTGAAATTTTGCATAATATAAAATCCACTTTATACAATTTTGCTAAATAGAAATTCGATAATTTGAGATTCGACGCCGTAAAAATTTTTATAAGTTAAATGTGGGTATTAGCATTAAATAATAAATTATTCGTATTAATGAATAATTTACTTTATTTGAAGTTGAACCAATAAAATAAAATTGTATCAAATAATTTTCTTTTATGAAAAAAAAAATTTATATTAAAAAACCAAATATTTCACTTTAATTAATTAATTAATTGTTCCAAGTTTAAAAAATCATTTATTAGATTCAATAAATAGTAGTAAATAATTATTGAATCAATGAATATAAGATATATCACATGCTTAATAATTGAGTGTAAAGACCAACCTTTTAATTTGCATTTGTTTTGGGAAAAAAATTTTGAAGCTAATAGTTACTTCAATTTTTTCTAAAAAAAATTCAAGCAAATTAAGGAAATTGCCTGACTTTTCCCTGACCGTTAGACTCCCTGGTATAGCTCGTGATTGAACGAAGAATTTTTAAAAATAATTGAAATTTGAATTTTTGGCAGAGTTTTTTGTCACAAATTACGATTTTTGAGACCATTTAGAACATGTAAAATCGGTTGTAATCAACAGAATAAAAAATCATTTGTTCAATAACTAGTCAATACTATTTAAAAGAAGTGTGCCAAATTTCAGAAAAATCGGTTCATTAGCTTTTGAGAAATCGTGACTACCGACTTCAAAAATAGAGTTTTGAGAAAACAGCATTCAAAGTTGAATGATATAAACGTCGGATTTTCTTTATTATTTCATTGGATTCGATTGAAAATCTTTATTCTGGAGTTTTTGGTGTCGCTGATTACAAATCTGGTGTCACATTTATAAAATTAAAAATGATTCATACAAAAAGGCAGACTAAGTAACTAAAAATCAAGTGCACTATGTGCCGGTCGAAACAAAAAGCGTTTTCGAAAATTCTCTCTCATTCCTGGAGTTTTATTCAAATTATCATAAAACTTTGGGAAAATATTCTTGACATTTTATACTATCAAATAAAAAAAAAAAATTTGATTTTTTTGTTTGACCCATGTAACCCCTTAAGTCACTTTAAGTGAAAAATTCGCGAATTTATAGAGATTCAAAGTAAGAAGTGCCAAAAAATTAATTTAGACAAAAACTAGTTTGAAGTTCAAATCTACCATTAGTTCCCATGCTAATTAAAAATTAAAAATAATAATATTAGTTGTTTTAATTACAATGAAGTCGTCGTGACCGCATAATTTAACGTGGAATACTTAGTAGTTTCATTTTTAATAAAAACAATTTTAAATTTGAACCACTTTTAGAAAATTGCGATTATCTCCTAAAATAAAATCGACAAAGTGATCCCTTTTCATGCGTATTCTAAAAGATATTTTAAAATTTTATATGCTTGTATTTTGTATTTACTATTTGCTACTTACTTTTACTTGTATAAAATTGAAGTGCATGAAAGAAGTGTACCGGAAGCACAAAAATAAAAAAAAAATGTTCAACATGATATATTAATAGAATATTTAAAAACGTTTCGATTGATTTGAGAAATTTATTGAAGTTTCAAAAATTAAAACATTTCTTTTTGGATTATTTTAGTCTGAATTTTTTTTATATAAGATCTGATATATTCTAAAAAAAAGTTAGTTATTCAAACTTCATTAAAGAATTATTGATTTTTAAAAAAACATGAATTATTATATAGTTTTAAATGAAAAATGTTATTTTCTATAAAAAAAATTATATAAAAACATGATTTTTATCAATAAAAAAAAGTAAATTTAGAAAATTCAGAAAAGAAAATTTTAAAAAATCCTATTGAGTAGTTAACTGTGTAAACTAAATAAATGATCTAGTTTCATATTTTCAATGTTGACTAGGTAAACAGTTAAATTGCATTATTTAATTTTCATATTAAGTTATATTTTACAAAAAATTTCAAAATATTTACAATATCTTAACCTATAATAAGGTCGTAAAAATTCACTCACAACATAAGAATTCTCATTTCTTTTTCCTTTTGTTTTAATTTCTTTAATACTGTTAAAAGTCCCATCTTTATTCTTCCACTTTTTAAATTACGACAAAAATTAGAAGTAGTTTTTATCAAATTAAATGACATACAGGGTTTTAAAACATTTGGCTGTCATTTTTTCTCTTTTTTCTTTCTGCTGGCTGCTTTTCCGAATTGAAGGTCTCTCCACAATACTACTCCTGTAATTTCATGAATTTTTGCACTGGCTTAGGGTATGGGTATGGTAAAATCGAAATCGATTATAAGCAAAAATCAAATAGTAGGTGTCGATTAATCGAATAATAGCAATCGATTAGTAAGATATACTAATCGACAGTAGTCGAATACTCTATTCGATTAATCGGCAAAAAAGCGTGGCAAGTTTTGGAAACACATTTTGCCTCACAACATGAGCGGTTAATCGTCCCCGCCACAATCAGATTCTACAACGACCGTCAAATGTCTGTTAACGACTTTAATGGTTAAACCGGTTAAACTAAGAAGACAAGTGAATGATAACAAAGCTTTTACCCATGTTTTACCGCAGTAGTGTTTGCCAAAATTTTTAGGTAAGTATATTCTTAAATACATATAAAAACTTTCGAGAAAAATATACACTAATAAAATTTAAACTTAAAAATAATAGGTTATCGGAATCATGATACAAGCACTTTATTATTAAAATTGGTTAGTAGAAACAAGAAATTATGAAAAAAAATCAGTTAATTTTTTTCAGATTTTTTTTTCTTTCTCGAATATTAACTAAATAATTTTATACTTTTCAGATTTATTATAAAAAATTATTAAATGTTAATAATTTAATTTTATAATTGTTTGTTGAAATAAATGCTTTCTTAATGATAAATTATGAATTTATTTATTGAAAATTTTTTCGTTAACGCAATTTTTTACCTATTTATGGATTTAAAAAAATCGAATAAAGTCGAATATATTCGAATTTTAGTGTCGATTAATCGACTTCTTTTTACTGTTCTAGAAGATTCAATCGATTAATCGATATTCGATTACTTCATTTGGATTCCCATCCCTACTCACGAGCGTCTCGGACGCAAGTGGCGGTGTTTCGTACCACAAGTATAAAAGCACCTTTATACTACTTCGTGTGTGTATATTATTGGAATCCGGCTAGGGTGACTGGGCCATAAGTGACCAGTTCGCTAAATGGAATTGACTCTCAAACGAGAGCGCATGTGCTATGTGTTATGCGATTAAAATGGAGACATAGTTTTATTATTCATTGAGTGCGTAAAAATGATTAAATATTTACTATTTCATACTTATTATTTATGACATAACACATTATTATTGTTTTTAATAATAAATTAATTTCAACTGATTCTTTTATTTTATATACATTTTGAGGTTATTTTTTAGAAAGCGAGTATAAATTTATATAAATACATACATTTACAAATAAAAATTAATTATAGCATTAAAAAAAATAAGGTCACTTACCTTTAAACCCTTTGTTTATTCTTATTTTTTATAAAATATTTAAATACATAAAAAAAACACCTCATTATAAATCAACAATCTGTCGAGGCATATCAATAAAATACGAAAAAATTGCACGCAAGCGTGCATCCCTGGCGGATTGTGAAAACCGAGTTGTAACCGAATTGGGTTACGATTCGGTTACGTTTCGGTTCATTGTGAAATATTATCGTTAATCGACGAAATATGTAGTAAATAACTATTAGGAATGGTTATTATACATTTAGAGAGCTTATTTATGCAATAATAATAATAAATTAAAATATAATTAATTAATAATAAGTATTTTAAGTGTACAGTGCATACAGTTGTTGAATTACCATATACATATATGTATATTACCATTAGCGGCAGCTGTGATACGCGCGTTAAACCCTAGATGGCGTTAAGGATCACTTTTTCGAATGAATTTCTAAAATTAAGCCCTTGAGTGTCAAATGTGTAAGTGAATATATAAGTTTTAAAAAAATAGATCAATTTATTAAAACAACTTTTTTGATTTGTACAAATATAAAAAATAAATTTTTATAACGAACAAAAATTTTTTTAGGGAAAAAAAGTTTTTTTATGTCAAAATTAATGTTTCTCATTTCATTGAGGAAAAAAATTATTTTAAGAATAAAAAATTTTTTTGGAAAAAATTTTTTTTCAAAATTAATCTTTCTCATTTTATTGATGAAAATAAAAATAATAATTAAACAAATAACAAAAATAATTTTAAATAATAATTACAATAATAATAATTAAACAAATAACAAAAATAAACATTTTTTTCTTAATAAAATTTCTTTTTCTTCAATAAAATAAAAAAGATTAATTTTGAAAAAAACTTTTTCTCATTAAAAAAATTTTTGTTCGTTATAAAAATTTATTTTTTATATTTGTACAAATCAAAAAAGTTGTTTTAATAAATTGATCTATTTTTTTAAAACTTATATATTCACTTACACATTTGACACTCAAGGGCTTAATTTTAGAAATTCATTCGAAAAAGTGATCCTTAACGCCATCTAGGGTTTAACGCGCGTATCACAGCTGCCGCTAATGGTAATATACATATATGTATATGGTAATTCAACAACTGTATGCACTGTACACTTAAAACACTTATTATTAATTAATTATATCTTAATTTATTATTATTATTGCATAAATAAGCTCTCTAAATGTATATTAACCATTACTAATAGTTATTTACTACATATTTCGTCAATTAACGATATTATTTCACAATGAACCGAAACGTAACCGAATCGTAACCCAATTCGGTTACAACTCGGTTTTCCCAATCCGCCAGGGATGCATGCCTTCCAATCAACTCGATTTTGATACATTCAGTCTACATGTGTACGTGCCTTTGGGTGGCCCATAAGGCCTAAGCAGAATAGTTTCGCGAACGTGAAATATGAGTTAGAAAAGGACAGAGATATATTGGTATCCTTTTCTATCTCATGCATCTTGTTCGCGAACGACTTTTGCGAATCTATTGTGCGATGGCCTATAGGCGCTTCCTATGGAGAATAGACTACAGGAGACCAATTTCCCATGCATTTACTTCACTAAAATGGTGCCAAGATTCGTCGTAAGCTAAGACTAGTACTCAGCTTGCCCATAGGTGGCGAAAAAAACAGATAGATACCATCAACGTACACATGTCAAGAAATATCTGTTTCGATCTGTTGCTGTCATATTGTTTTGGAAAAAAAACCTGAATTTAGGCATATTTTTATTCAACTTTAAGGAGAGTCCAGAATACGGGTTTCTGAACGTCGACGCGTTGATAGAAACGCGTCTGTCTTAAGGAGCTTCTACAATAGCTCCGTTTGGCAACTCCAAGTCCAAGTTGGTTGCGCACGCATGGTGTTGCGACGTCCTCTGTCCACGAGAAATTTCTCGTGGGAATGAATGCTGATAGGCTGATAGGTGCACCAGCAAGCAACCATCTTGGATTTCCCCCACCCAACTTGAATAACCTTATCAACTTGGATTTGGAGTTGCCAAACGGAGCTATTGTAGAAGCTCCTTTATGGGACATCAATGGGAGAGACAAAGACAGAATGAAACGTCGACGTTCAGAAACCACTTATTCTGGACTCTCCCTTAAAGTAATTGAGATTTGAGTTACGTGAAATGTATGTGTACTTATGTTTCTTTGTAGAAAACATATTTCGCCTAAGCATTTAAGGAACTAATGAATATTAAATTACAGTTATATAAATATTAAAGTTATGTAAGAAATTATCGCAATGTAATAAACATTTTTGTTTTTATTTTGATAATTATTTTACCGTAAAATTGAAAAATTTATTTGTATTAATAAAAATAATTTTTAATAATAATTTTTAGAGGCCTTTCACAGTCTTTGAATTTTTATTTGGAAATGTAAAGTTTGAATATAATTTTAAATACATCTATAGTTAAAAAGTTTTCTCATAATAAATTAAGTTTAAAAAAATATTTTTGACACAACTTTAATTAAATAATTAATTAAATAATATAATAAATAAAATATATAATATTTCAAAAATTAACGAATCTTATAAACTCACAAAAATGTTAATCATAATTTAAATAATAATGGTATGGCCGCACTCTCACCTCTCGGCTGCCTGCCAGCCTGCAGGAGTTGTCATGACAACGTGTAGGAGTAACAGAGATAGTAAATTCAAATTTGATTTTTCTCTCTCTCTCTCTTACTCCTGCACGTTGCCATTACAACTCCTGCAGGCAGGCAGGCAGGCAGCCAGAAGGTGTGAGTGCGCCCTAACTTATATTAAATTTTAATAATAATAATAAATTAATAATAAATAAATAAATAATAAATAAATAAATTAATAATAATAAACTGCCTTAAATCGTCGGTCTTCTTTAAACTAAATTTATCTTGTGTATTAGAAATACTTCTTTTCATTTAAAAGCTAATAAAATATTAATTTGCCATAAGAAAAGCAAATTCCGTCATTGGGTTTTTTTTTATTTACTAGTGAAAGAACAGAAATGTTTTTTCACTGGTTCCAATGCAATCCAATGAAGGAACACCTTCAACGAATAGTCTGAAGTCATAAACAAAAAAAAACAAAATCAAATAGGTTAACACTGTTAGGTTACAATAATATTATTCTTGTATGATTAATTGTAGGTTATAAATGCAATTTCAATTAAAAATAAGATTCTGTAAACTTAGTTAAAAAATATTCATAATTATCATTAATTTACCTTTATTTTAGTATATTACAAACATTTTATTACTTTATCTTTGTTTTAATATATTTTTTAAATATATTTTAAATATATATTTCACATTGTTCTTTCACTGGATGCAGAAAATTCTGTCATTAGACAATTTGTTCTTTCACTGGTGAAATAGGTATGTTTTACTTATTAATTAAAACTTTAATTAACATCTTATATTTATGAAAATTAAATATGACCTTCACATTCTACACTTAATTAGCTTTCGAAAAAAAATTGGTAAAAAAATTTTCAATAACTGCATTCGAAAATAATAAATGATAAAAGTATGCATTTCCTTAAATGTTCTTTTACTGGTGCCGTTACCCTATCATAAAAAATTTTAAATACATAATTTAAACTAAAAATTTCCACTTTGGCGAATTTTAAACTTACCTTATACATTATTTATTTATAAATTTATTTTATATATTTCACAGAAAAAATGGGCTTCTTCCGGAAAACCATGTATCACGATGTATGCTGTTAACCAAGAAGCACATGTAAATTTCAGAATTATCAATCTGTTTTCAACGCGGCGTGCGAGAAGTTTCGGAACTAACAGCTTTCGACGAAAATTGGTCGTTTTCTTAACACTGCATTGGTCTCCTGTAGTCTATTCTCCATGGCATGGCGCTTCCGGCAACTTTCTCAGTCGTACTTTTCCCATTAGTTAGAGAGAGACACGTATATTACACTGCACATGCGCTCTCGTTCGAGAGTCAATTCCATTTAGCGAACATGTCACTTATGGTACAGTGACCTTGACAAATACAAAGTTGAGTCTCCTTATTATTACTTCGTGGTTTTCGAGTACAACATTCCATGTCTTTTTTAAGACAAACTTAGGAAGGAAATAATGTCTTTTATAGGTATGAAAAATAAAAAGCAAAAAGTTATAAATTATTTCACTATAATACAGGTAGTATTGCTTTGATAGCAGATGAAAATGATTAATAAAATTATTTCTCTGAAAACTGCTGGTCGCTGTGGTGTTCCGGGTTGTAATTATTCATTAAATTTTTTGTTTTTGTACAATTTAACCTCAAAACGGATACACTCGAATGTATTAATATACATTACATATGTGACTTAATTTTTTTTGAGGTCTTATTATAAGTGAAAGTTTTTCTAAAAAGTAACTAAATTATGGTTGCATCTTTTTAGATGCATATAAAATAGTCAAATTCAATTTTGTAGAAAATTCGAAATGTTCCCTAGGGTTGTCCTTATTTTCAAAATTTTCCTATTTTTATTATTACCGGCCAAAATTTTGTTCTAAAAGGAAAAATATGGTATGGGAAAAAAAACACTTTTTCGTAGATTTACTGTAGAATCATTAAAAATCAATATTTTTTGACTGGACTACTCTACTTTTCTTTAAAAATGTTCAAAGAATGACACACAATTCATTATTTATAAAACTTATTGTTCACTGTTTTTTAAAGGATCTCCAAAACTGCAAAAAAGTGAAATATTTCTTTAAAATTGCTTACTATTAATTTTATTCGATTTCTCTACTGGAATTTTTTATTCTTAACTAAAACAAGTGAGGAATAAATTTTCAAAATCTGATAAATCCATTTTTCAAAAAAATGGAGATAAATATAAATTTAATATTTTAAGGACCTCACAAATCTTCCTGTCGCTGTTAAATTTAAGAAAAAAAATTTGTTAACAACAAATTTTCAATTCAAAAACTTTTGGACATAACCAAGATGAGTTATAATTTTTATGTTTTTTATTAGAAAAAATTACCAATACCTGTAAATCATTAAATTATGATAAAGTTTAATTGTTATAGAATTAAACTATTACAAATTTTATATTTTAAAAATAACTGCAGTGGTTATGTGAGAAAATTCATTTGTTTCAATTTCTCGAAATAAGAAAATATGGATTTATCAGGTTTTGAAAATTTGCTCCTCAAGTATTATTGTTTGTATTTACATGACATACAAAAAATTTTTTAAATAATTTATAATTGTTATTGATCATTTTAGCGTTTAAGTAATTGAATTTTAGATTGTCGCTTGAAATTTATTCAATTATTATTTAATAATTTTTTTAGTTGTAAAATTATAAAAAATTGTTCTGAAAGAGATTTATTCCTCTCATTTTCCTTGACATTTTAAAAAAAGTAGACCTCAATCCGATTATTAGAACGGAAAATATAGCAGTTTAAAATTTTTTGTTATTATTGCAAATCTCGTAAACTAACAAATATTTTAAGCTGAAATTTACGTTAAAGATTAGTCTTACTATATATAACAAAATTCCAAAGTTTCATTACAATCGGTTAACCTACTCCGAAAAAGTCAAAATCTCACCTGGAATCGCACAAGTTGCAGTTTTTCTGAATTTTATAATAGATATTTCTCACAGATATATTAATCTCTAAGGTTAAAATAAATAAATATTTGAAAAATTTATTAAACAAACTATTGTTATTATTATTCTTAATATATACTTAGAGAACTGCAGAAATTAAATAATTTTACAATATTTTACAATTAGAAAAATAACTAATCAGATCTAGCTATCGAATATAAGAATTTAATGAATATTAAATTTCAACAATGTAAATAGACTTATCTCTAGAACTTTGAAACTTTTAGATATTAGAAAAATAATTTTTTTTCAAGCACATTCTCGAAATAAATTTTATTTTCTGCAGTATTGATCAAATAATAGAGAAAAAATTGCGTAACTTATTTTTACACATTGTTACATTGTACAGTGGGCCAGATTGAAAGAAAGCTGGTCAAGACCCCTACATGTGTTTAAAACTGGCTGATATTTCTCACTCGCAGGTTTTTGGGGTCGCTGAATACGAATCTAAGCTTAGTTTTTCAAAATTCAAAATGGCGGACAACTTTTTAATAAATTGATCCAATTAGTCTGAAATTTGTTACTTGGGGGGTTATTGGGGTCGCTGATTACGAATCTGAACTTAGTTTTTCAAAATTCAAAATTTCAGATTCAATATGGCGGACGACTTTTTAAAAAATCGATCCAATTGGCCTGAAGTTTCTTACTTGGGGGTTTTCGGAGCTTAGTTTTTCTAATCATGTACATAAAATTTAAATTTAAATTTTTTAAATTCAAAATGGCGAATCAAATATGTCGGAAAGATTTTTTTCAATTATTTAATTTTTATAAAAATTGATTGCCAGGGTTTTCTGAGGTCACTAATTGCGAATCTGAACATAGTTTAAAACCCAAATATATATTATGGGGCTGTTCACAAAAAACGTAACGCTCCTAGGGGTCAAGCTATTTGTTACAGTCAGCCAAAAAAATGGCGCTAATGTATGTAACTGTTCGTTACATGGGGGGAGAGGGGTTGAAATTTACCAAAAAAAGCGTTACGTATTTTGTGAACAGCCCTTATATTTAAATAAAATTTTGAAAAAACAAAATGTGTAATCTAATATTGAGAAATCCAAACATTTTTTTAAACCGTCAAAATATATTAAAAACCAATAACTTTTTTAAAATTTTGTCCACCATATTGAATCCGCCATCTTGAATTTTGAAAAACTAAGTTCAGATTCATAGTCAGCGACCCCAGAAACCTCCGAGTGAGAAATATGAGCCAGTTTTAAATACATTTATTAGTTTAATACTTACTTTCGTTCACAAACTATACGTCGCCCTATTGAAAATCCCCACATGGGATCCTATATATGATTCCATATAGGTTCCTTTATAAAAACCGTTATGAAATCCTAGGTCGACATAGGAATCCACAAAGAATTCCATGTAAAATCATATATGAAATTCGGACACGATTTGGTGTATGATTTCATGTAGGAATTTATGATGTTGTTTCTACATTGAAATCTATATGAATTCCTACATTATTTCCTATAATTTTTCTGGCATATGATTTTTGTCAATTTCCTTCATAATCAACTCACATCAAATCTTATAAAAAATATCATATAAAATTCTAAAGATTTCCTTATATAAAATCTTACATACAATTTTTAATATAGGAAACGATATGGGATTTCATGTGCATTCTTACATATGATTTCACATGGATTTATATATAAGAAACAATATAGGATTTCATGTGATAAATTTCAGTTGACTGTTTTATACAGAAGGCAGTTAACAAAAATTAAAAATTATTTAATTAAAAATTAAATAATATTACTGCAATTCATCTGAAAAGAAAAAAGATTGTGCTTTGCAATACACCTTCTGAGTTAAAGTCTCAGCTTATATAGTATTCAATAATGATCTCAACTGTGAGAAAAAAAATTTTTTCACCATCTGGCGGCGTAAGAGTGGAATAATTATAATTTACATTTACATTTCCTATGTAGGAATCCATGTGAGAACATATGCAGGATCTTATGCTTTCATTTGCAATTATTTATTTAAAAAAAACGCACCGATTTTAGTAAAAATAGCAAATTTATGTTTAATTATAAAAAATCAAGGTCACAATTCAAAAATTTTGAAAAACGAAATTCACTATTGGAAAGAGCATGAAAAAACCTTCAAAAAACATACATGCCAAAATCTTTTTTATTGCATTTATAGACACCCAACGGGAAATTTGCCCATGCTTACTATTGGTTCAATATTGGTCCACGATTGGCTGCCAATCTTTTTTTCTTGGTAAAACTGTTGGCACCCAATATTCGACCGCTAATGGTAAAGACTTGGGATGATCACGCCGTTGCCAATCATTTGTAGCTAATATTGTTCCATCATTGGCTACCAAGGCAAAAAACGGATTCTCAAAAGCTTGGTTATTAATTGGCTACATAGATTGGGTCAGTATTGGAAGCTAATCATTGGTTATCAACAATGGACCAATCTTAGTAGACAATTATTAACCAAGCATTTGAATATTCGTTATATGTCTTGGCAGCCAATGAAAAAACAATATTTGAGACCTAAAAATGGCAATATCATCCCAAAATTTAATAAAACGTGGTCCACTATTGTCAGTCAATAGTTCGACAAGAAAAGGATACAAAAATTTAATTCAATTCATTTCACATATGGAGATAATTAAAATATCTCCTGCCACCAAAAAAAGGCAAAGTGTGAAAAAAATTGAATTCTGATTTCAACGACAAAGAAATCTGTTCTTATATAGTGTGAGGGTAACACCTTGATTGCGAGTGGAAACGACTACCACTCACCCTATACACCACTTGTCTGAATTATTGTCGTGCGCGCATCTTTCGACGCAGCGCGGGAATCTTCAAATGTGATTTCAAACATTGTGTAAAAGATTTAATAATTTTTTATTACATTTTAAAAAATTAATATAATTAAAAAAATAAAATAATATTTTAAAAAAATTTTTTATTTTTAAAGAATATTTTTTTATTTAATCTAATTTCAAATAAGTCAAAAAATTTTTTGGGGATATTTTACTATCAGGTAGGACAACAATTTCCCCAAGTTTCACTTTTTTTCGAGAAATCAATTTTTTAACTCAGGACATTTCACGTAAAATGCCTTATATATATTGTTAAAAATATTTTAAAATAACAAAATTTTGACTTAACATATTTTAACAAATGGGAATAAAAAAAATTCTGATATACTACTGTCGGGAATTATACGACTTCTGCTATCCGGAATAATCCTGAAAAATTTATGGAATTTTCTTTTAAATCCTGGAAATCAACCAATAATTATGAATATATTATATCCCAGTCAAAACTTTAAAGTTTTGTGATTTGCTTGATATTTATTAAATTGTTGTCCTATTGGAAAGGAATAAACTTCTAAAATATCAACTAATTAAAAAAAATGTAGGGGGGTATACAAGTTGAAATTTTTCAAAAAACAGATTTTGGGCTTTCATTTTCTGAAAGTAGAGTATTTTGAATTTTAC